TTAACTTAACTAACGTAGTTAGTTAGTTAGTTAGTTAGTTAGTTTAAGTTTAAGTTTAATTAATAATAACTAACTAACTAACTACTATATATATATATATATATATATAGAGAGAGAGAGAGAGAGAGAGAGAGAGAGAGAGAGTTGAAACAAACACCTGAGATTGCAAACTTGTTAAATTAAAAAGCCGCTCTATCGCCGGTTCTCCTTGCTTCAATTCATTGTAGGCTTTCCCAACACCCTGTGTAATTCACAAGTCACATTCACTCAAAAGATTCCTACGGCAAACAAGATGATAAATTTGATTTTGGAAAGCTCAATAATGAATATATCTTCTTTAAGCCAAAGGTTGCAACAGATTTCTAAGTAGAGAGAATATGTGTCGGACCTGTGGCACATATTAATAGAGGGGCACATGTAAAGCTAATCAACAAGTGATTCAAGATAGAGTGGCAGAGAGAGCCTTCATCTTGCACATTACATATTTGCTAGACAAAATAAGATATTTTATTTCATCATCGTCAAAGCCTTTTCCCAACTAATTTGGGTCGGCTAAAATAAGATTATTCTATTTAATTAGCATAAAACTCAATCCATTTATTGTTTCTTTCTTGAACGTATTTTTCTTCGTAAAGCATCAAATCCGAAGAAATAAATTAATAAAAAATTATTGTCTTGAATGTAGCAATATTACCTGAACTGGCGCGATCAACAGAAACACGGAGGTTATAAAAGAAACTATATGAGAACCATCAAATGCACCACCAGAGACCACCAAAGAGCCAACACAAAATACAAAGATAATTCCCACATAAATGACTTGTATAACTTGGGGAATGAATGCCTTCATCGTTTTTTTCCTCAAATGTTGACTCAAGTCATCATGAGCAAGCTTTTGAAATCGCAAACTTTCGCATGTCTCAGCATTGTAAGCCTTTACAACAATCATTGATGGAAGAACCTAAGATATTGCAACTCATAAGTTAAGAGGATCACCAATATCCAAAAAATAATTTTATTCATAATCAAAGTAAGGGCACCTCATTTAGGTAGGATGAGAGTTTGGCGACAGTATGATGTGCTTTCTTAGAAATCTTGCGAAGCTTCTCTCCAAGATATGCTATGACCAGACACATACATGGAATAACCTACAAGAACCAATCAACAGGCCACTATAGGAGAAACAAGAAAAGCCTAAGTCATGAATGGGAGTGTTAATATGTAATCGTAAATTGCAATCACTAAGTAAAAGATGGCATCTCACCAAAGATGTAATTAGATAAAGAACAGGGCTAATCGCCACCATCTGGAAAGACATAGCAAATAATTGCAGGGTATATGGTACAATAGTCTGCACTCAACAAAAATCAAACAACTGAAAAGTAAGTCAATTTTCATAGACCATCTATTTAACTAATTGGTGTTAAAATGTTGGTGCAATGTTACTGCATCGGGTTTTACTCAATAGCCTAGGGGTTTGGAGCTCCAAGTACTTTTTTTTTTTTGGGGCTTTTCTTAATGGCTGCATAGTAGTTATAGCATGTGTTATGCAAAGGTAAAAAAATAAAGAAAAGCTCAGGCTGCACAAAGTGGCCACTCCGAGAAATTTCAATCCTCACAAAAAGGCCAAAAAAAAAGGGCAGAAAAAAGCAAAAGTGGCTGAGAGGTAAGAGTATACAAAATGGCCTGAAGCTCCCATTCTTGCCAATAATGCAAAGGGGACACCCCCACCCCGCCCCCCAACCCCCAAAACACAATAAACAAAAATCAAAACACACACCCCAAAAAAAAAAGGTCTGAGAAAGTGAATGACTGAGGTTCTCAATGATTCAAAATTTTCCAACAAAATTTCTATGATTCAGCAATTTTCATTGTAGAGCAACAACTCTGCAGAACTAAGCCGCAATGTAACCATCCACTTCCTTCCTCAGAATGTTGAATATAATTTTTTTCGACTCCGTTTCAATCATATTTCTTCTTCGTTTTGGGCTATCATAAAGTTTCTTTCAAAATTTAGTCCATAGTCCATACTCAATACTTCGGAATTGAGTAGTGTCAGGTCACATTCTATAACTATAATTTTTCATTGACCACTTTATTTTAGACTTAGAAATCAGTTGAAAATTTGCATCACCCAAGTTATCAAATCGGAGCAAAACAAATTAAGTCAGCACTAGAATAAATTCATACTAATTTACGCAATAAAATAATAATATTAATTTAACAAAATTCAACGAAGTGGGAAGCACTGAAAAAACAAGATAAACAAGAAACTCACATACATATATAAGAGCGTAGATGGTATCAGCTATATCCGAAGCTTCTGCAGTGATCCTATACGAAATATCTCCCGAAAAAGCCCCACTGGTGCCTTCAAAAAACCCTAATTCTCTCTGCAAAACCCTCTCAAAAACATCAACCCGAATTTCATAAGAGGCATTCAAGGCTGCCTCCCAAAGAAAAGCCTGCTGCCAATAATTTGCCATCAATCTGATCAAAACCAGAGCAGCAATGGCCGAACCCTCTCTAACCAAGCTGCCAAGTTTCATCAAAGGCATCATTGTTGAGAACTTTCCAACCATAGGTACAATCCTAGAGAGAGCAAGAACTGAGATTACACTAAAAATCCATCCCTTGAGAATGGGTTGGTGCTGGGATAGCAAAAACGGCTTTATGGGGTCGAAAGAGGATAGTGGAAAGGGTATTTTTAGGGGATTTTGGACAAAAAAACTCTGTGAAAATGGGTTTGATAATGGAGAATTGGAGGTGGAAGAGTGGGTGTCGTGGCATTTAAAAGTGGGGTTCCTCTGTGAAAAAGCTGGTGAAAGAGACGGCGTTTTATAGTGTGGGTGCCTGAATTTTGGGTGATAGAGAGAGGAGAGAGAAAGAAGAGTGGGTTTTGGGCTATGGAGAGAAAGTGAGGTGTTCATTGTTGCCGTTGAGGTAGCAGCGGTAGTGAGAGGAGGCGGGCCTGGTTACAGATAAATGTATTACAGAGCGAGGATGTTTGCAGGGTCCCGTAAATGAAAGGAGTTACAAAATCAGGGCGTGGGCCCGAATGCCGCGTTTTTGGCCGGGCAATATGTTCGCCTCACAATAGGCGTCGGACCTGAAGCTTTGCCCTGTAGTTGGACAACATACATAAAACTTCGTTAGAGGTGGGGCCTAGGGGAATGGCAAAGGCTGCTACAACGCATATGTATCATTTTTTATTATCCCAGGGCACACCCGTTTTACTCGGATTACCAAAAGTTGAACTATCGATGTTGAGCTTGAAGGGTTATATGGGGGAATGGATAATGCATATTGGATCGTGGTGGAAGGGGGAGTCAACATGCCACTGAAAACTGAGATGGTAGAGATGTCGATCTCGAAAGAGTAGAAAATCCAACCCTTTCCCTCTGCAAGCTTGCTGATAAAGTGGATGAACATCCGAAGAATTACTCCCTCGCCTACCTTTGATCGTCGTGGATATGTGCGTTACGCCCTGCTTACAGGAACTAGACAACAATGGAGAAGGTGGACAGCTAGACATTCTTCATCCCATTGGATTTGAAGCGGAATCCGAACCATTTCATTATCATCATTGTTGGGGTTTGCTCGAGCGACATGTTTTTGCTGAACCTCCAGAAAATGGAATGCCTTACTGGACTGCCACAACACCTAGGAAAACATATACTGGATAGCAATATGGTTTGTGGATTCCTCCCGGTGGAGGCCATCTGGTGGCACTTCCCTGTTCCATAACAAAAGTTTTTGCCTTATATTGAGGGCTCAAAAGTCAACAAAAGCTTTTACCTTATATTTAAAGCTCAATAGTCAACAGAAGTTTTTATCTTATAGTTAAGGCTCAAAAGTCAATACTTTCATGGAAACTATGGAACTTGGGCTATCTACTTTTCCGGAAGATGTAGTTTTTACAATTATGTTTTTCAAAAATTAAACACACTTTAGGGTGTATTTGATTTTCGAAAGATGTGATTTTAGAAATCACGTCTTCTAGGGAAGTGGATACCCCAAGTTTCATGGTCCTTTATGGAACTAATGGTACTACAATATCCAATTTGTTATAAAACTTCATTGTTAACGAACATAGAAGTATTACAATATTAGTAAACATGGTTTCCAAAACCGCATCTTTCAAAAATCAAACACGTCTTTAATGGCCTTTAGAAATTGGAAGTTCTTCTTTGTTAACATTTGGAATGTTCTATTTCTAAAATGGTTAGTAAATGTGTTTGATAACCTATTTGGAATGTTAAATAAGTTTTGGGTACCTGTGTTAAGTTTTGGCTACCTGTGTGTAATTGACCATGTAATGTTTGTATTCTAGAGAGCCGTGAGTAAGCTAGTTTCAACCGTTCATTCATTTCTTAGTGATATGAGGCCGATATGTCTTGTATAAAGGAGATACAAGATACTCTTAATCTTCAACATGTCTTACAAAACCGAATTTTTTTTTAACAATATTTTTAACTTTGTTAATCAAGAGAAAATTACAAAGCAATAATTGAAGCAATAAATTGTTCAAATCAACAACGATGGACAACTCCAACATAGAAACACCCCACTTAGCAAGCCCATCTACAATGACATTAGCTTTTTTATAAAAATGTGTGAAGAGGATATCCAAAGATTCACAAATGTCTATAATCTCCACTCACACAAACTAAGGTATTTTTTATTCTTTCTTACTGATTTTATGAAATTGAGTGAATTTGTCTCCACCATCAACTTTCTCTGAAGCTACCTCTCCTTAAAAAACTTCAATCTTTACGAAAGCGAATAAAATCCTGCTTGATTTGCCGAAACACATTCACAAGGTCACCAAATAACAAAATATAATAATCTCATCTAAATCTATAAGTACTATATCAACTCTGGTAGGTCTTGGGTTTGTTTCCCAATGAGCTCGTATCAGAATTTAACTTCATATTCCGTAGCAAAAGAGGATTCCAACTGCTTCTGGGTCGAGTCTTTGCAATCCCTTGAATTACTCAATTTGCCAAATTCACCACTCCCTTCTTTAGAAACAAAAAACCAACTCCAAGTTGTATGTAAGATCTTAACTTTCATATTATATCCATTCAAAAGGATGCTATCAAAAGTGTATCTATTCCTTAATGTCTCTATCTCCCATACGATAGCATCCCCAAATACGTTCCAAATTATCCTCCCAATTTTACGAAGACTAGGTAAATTAAAATGCTCAATAATATATTTGTAGCTCTTTGATAACATCATTGCGATCCTCATCAAATTAAAGGCCCATTCCTTATTCGAGGCAGCGCGACAACGTAAGAACAAGTGATCACTTGTTTGTTTCTCTTCCTTGGACATTAAACAAACATTAATAAATAGTTTTCCCCTCTTTCATTGATTATCAACAATTAGGGTATTACCTTGTATGGCAATCCACAAAAGCTTGCACTTTATGGGGGATTGGCCATTTCCATATCTTCCTTAGCAAAGGCTGTTCCCATCTGACACAATCATGAAACATAAGTCGATATGCAGATTTAACTGAAAACATTCCATCATTTTCATCCTCCCATACAATATCATCATCAGCCTCAACAAATATATATACACCTTTCAAGTTCTTTAAAAGTTCAGTAAGCTACAATATAACCACTATTGGGATCCTATTGTAGATACAATCATTATTTCATATTTTTCTAGAGCCAACTTAGATCTCATTCACTTTGGCCAAAGGCTGAGTTACCCTCGCAAACAACTTGGAAAAATGGGCATTCAGAGATCTGTAACCCATCCACTTATGGTGCCAAAAAGATATATTGTCCCCTCTCCCAATCACCCATCTAGTATTTTTCACCATAATGGGTATACACCAATATATTCTTTTTCATAACTAAGATTGTTGAGCCCCACGCGTTTGCTTCCAATAAGAGAATGTCGATCCATAACATATTTAGCCATCAATACTTGTCATCATAGCTAATCCTCACCTTGTAAGCATCTCCACCACCATTTTGCGAATAATGGTTTATTCATAACTTTAATCTTCCTAATGCCGAAACACCCTTCTCTCTTGGGGTACAAACACTCTCCCAACTAACAAGATGATATTTCTTCTCTTTCCCATTTGTCCCCCAAAGGAAATTTCTTATCATTATCTCAATCACTTTGACCACTGAAGTTGGCATAAACATATTTGGTATATGGGTAAAGTTGTCATAGATAATTTTATTAGAGTAGTCCTCCCCTTTAATGGAAAAACTTTGTCTTCCATACATTTAGCTTTACTTGAAATCTCTGAATTATGGCATCATAAGCAACTCTATCTAACCTTCTGTCCAAATAGGCATTCATAGGTATTTAATTGGGAATATTCCACCTTGTAGCCCATATGAGTTGTGAAAGAGTTCACTAGATCCCATTGCAAGCCACTCCAACGACAACAATTTTATCAAAATTAATCTTCAAATCCAAAGTCACCTCACAACACCACAGAAACCTATAGCTATTAATGATTTGATCCATCTTAGCATCACGAACCATCAAAGTATTATATGTATAATGAAGGTGGGTGTTTCGCCTAAAATGTGTCTTCATAATTAGCAAAGAAATGCATACAAAATAAGTTGACCCCAAATAGAACCAGAGTACAAGATAACAAATGGAACACAAGTTCAAATTTTTTTGATATGGATTGGATTCGAGATGAGTTCTAGATGCCTATAAGGTCATCTATTTCTTTTACATCAAAGTTTGGTTAAACAAACAGAGAACACCCTTGATGATCTAGCTCGAAAAGAAAAAAATTACATATGTATGTGGACGATCTAGTTGAGTCTATTAGATCCTTTCAAAATTATGCAGAAGAATAGACCATCCCTAAAACTGATCCAGAATGAGATGCCCAGTCTCTATTCCTACTACAACTGCTTGCTTACAGCTGTAATGTAAGACTCAAGAGTGATCACTCCTTTATGTCCATTACCCTATTGTTTGGAGTGTCTTATATAGACAATTTCAGGGGAAAGATTAGTTGTAATCCAATACTTTCCAGCATTGAACTGTTATCATTTTCTTTTTATCCAATCAACAATATATTAGTCTCTTTCTTCAAATTTAAACTTCACTCATCTTCGTTATTTTTGTTAATCCCAATAAAAATATATGTCAATAAATAAATAAAATCCATAACCAACTTACTCGGATCTGTCCTTAAATCATATGAGGGACTTGAGGTTCTATGCCAAAACCTATAGACGAAGCCATCCGGTGACAGTTGAGAGTCCTCTTTGGTGAGTATCATTATCCCTTTTCCCATCCTCATCTTTACTTGAGCGGTTAGCCTCTTTTTATAGAGACCCATTTAGTTTGTAATTCTCACATTCATGGTCTATAGGAGTTGAGATCCAAGTCTAACTCTTGCCTTAATTCCCTTTAGGGCAGTTAATTATGATTAGCAAGTTGCCACAAAACTATTAGTCCTATGTAATGAGTTAAACCTGTCATTAGTGCACTAATGACTTACATAATAGGACGTCATCCAAGTATTCTTACAATTTGATAAAATAAATTAAATAATTTTGTACATCTATAATATATAAAGAAACAATTCTTACAAAGAATCCAAACACAACGCTGGGTTTTCCCTCCAGTGACATTGGGTTTTCCCTCTAGTACAACATCCTATAAAATCTCAAAAAATGGATCCTAGTATATAACATTGCCTCATGTCAACTACATGAGATTTCACATATACTATACAATATTGCTTTTATACTATTATTGAAAAATAAATTCAAAGGATAAAAGGGATTGATAGGCCATGTTTCCAACATTTACCACTTGGCCTGAAGACCCTTTAACATCTTGTGTATAGTATTGCCTCATGTTTTCCACATGGGTTTTCCATAAACCCAGCTTGAAGGCTCTTTGACATATTGTACATGGCATTGCCTCAAGCTTTCCACATGGGATTTCTGATGTGAATTTGAATAATATAATAATGAAAACTTAAATCCAAAATAACAATGCAAGAAACTATAAGACCCGAGAGAGTGTACGTATCTTCCAAATCTCACTTGCAATTACTTTAACAAAGAAACTTTGCGTCAAAGAGGAAAGGCTACTGCATTCACTTCTACACTTTTTCTCTCTCTACACATTCTTTCTCTCTCTCTCTCTTGGTTCTCACTTTCTCTACACTCAATACTCATTTACTTGCCCCCACGTGTGGCTCTCTATTCCCTTTTTATAAAGGTTGTCATATCAACTAAAATGTTCTAGTGACCACCTACCCACATTTAATGGATAGCTACTTTTGTTGACTTTGTGCCCTTTTTAGAAACTTCTACATGTTTCTTTATATATTTCTTCATGTCTCATCTTAAAAGTTCCATCTAGAAAACTCTACATGCTTCTTAAACCTCTACTCACATCTAGAACATTCTTCTTTGTTAAGTTTAATTTTCCAACACTCCCCTTAAACTTAACAAAATACCATCCCCAAAAAATGTTTCAACTTGTTAAATCTATCTGGTCTTAATGCCTTGGTGAAAATATCAGCAACCTGTTCTTCAGTGTTACAATATATGAACTTGATTTCATTCTTCTCTATGTGATCTCGTATGAAATGATAACGTCTGTCAATATGCTTGCCCTTTCCATGTCGGATTGGATTCTTTGCTAATGTTATTGCTGACATGTTGTCCATATGGATCTTGGTGGGGCCTTCTTTCTTTTAATAGGTTTCTTAGCCATAGTGCTTGTC